TTGCACACCTACTATATGCAAGGGCCTGGTCTTAATTTTGGAGAGAGATGTGTGTTCGAATTTGTGGCACATTCATTGTTTAGAGGTAGGTAGGTGTTCATTCAACAACTATTTATCGAATGCCTGATTGCGGGGCACAGTTTTAGGCAGTGAACAAAGCACGCATAAATTCTTGTTCTCATAGAGCTTACGGTTAGTGGCTACACAAGAAAATAATTTGTTTAAATTGTATTAATGTAGCATGTGGTATTTCAACAATTACTAATATTTATCAAATGCTTACTCTGTGCAGCAAGTCTAATAAATATATTTTTGTATTAACTCTTTTAATTCTTATTGAAGCCTTATTGTTAAACACCATTTTATAGTTGAGGAAGCAGAGTAGGGAGTTTGTGTTAGTTGCCCAAAGGCACAAATAATGGAGACAAGATCAAGCACAGGCAGGCTGGCCCTAAAACTATAATAATAAGTGAGAAAAATGTGAATGTAGCTTGGAATGGACGAAGATTCCCAAGAAGGTGATATTTGAGCTCAGTCAGGAAAAATAGTTCACTAGAATTGACTGTCCATAGTTTTATTCATCCATCCACTCAAGCTATTTGTCTATACAACAATTTTGTGATTGCATAGTATGTTTCAGAGTCTTTTCTAGGCAAAGAAATAATGTGGCTATCACTATTTAGATTTAGTGCCTGTTTTGTGCCATGTCCTGAGGTTATACATTATTGCTGATACTTAGAACAACACATAAAACAAACTGGACGGCATTGTCTCTGTTTTAGTATGAACAATTGTACACTCACCAGGAGACCCAGACTGATTTCTGTCAAAGTTGTAGTTTCTGTAACTACTCAGGCTTGCTGCCTGTTTGCTCGTGTGGGCTACCTTGAAGCACAACCATCCCATGTCAAGACTGGCTCCATCCAGAGAGGCTAATGTTACCCTATTCTCCAAGAGCTACTGCTGTTCACTATGTGTGGATTCCCCCAGAAACATGGCCTGTTGAAATGGACATGCTGGGACTCACTCTTTTGGGACTACTGAGGCCAGTTACAGTATTTAAGCATGCCTCATATCCCTGTCCTTCATTGCTGCTCCCAAAGGTAAACTACCCAATTCTGCTAAACCCACGGTCCTACTTCCCCCACCTCCACTCTTGCATAAAACATTAGCATCTGGCTTCCATCTCCTGCTCAGCCCCTGAATTTGAACATGCCAAAGATGTGAATATTGGATTGCAAAGTTGCCGTATTGGATAG